TCATCGAACACCACGTATTCCACACTCTGCAGCTTCAGGTTCATTTCCACAGCCACATGCACCAACCGTCCGGGCGTGGCAATAATTCTGGAAGAGGGTGCACAGGCCAGGTGACCCCAGGGCCAGGGCCACCACCATAGTTCTCTTACACCCCCACCACTGGGAAGGGACCTCAGGGAGTCATCCCCAATCCACAAACTCACATGTCGGGATTTTCGTGCAGGGCTGCAAACTGGTCTTCCATCCTAGAGAGGAGAGAAGGGTTTTAGCTTGATAGAACAGGTCTCCGGTTTCCCTTCCCATAACCAAACGTCCAGGTGAGGCTGCACACCCCAACCCCAGGAACACACACCCGAGGCTTGGAACTGAGGAAAGGCCAGTGCTGAGGTGAGGCAAAGGCATTGCCCTGACAAGAGATACAAGCTGAAATAGTCAAAAGAACGGTTATAACAGAGTTCCCCCAAAGAGATGGGCTCAACTACAGACCTCAATTCACTCCTTCTGTTGGTCCAGATAGCAACAAAGCTGCCTTCTACCCACAGCGCCCCCAGCAACTAACCCTGGAACTACCAGCTCCAACTAGAACTCAGGTTCCCCGGATCTCTGTCAGCTCTCGTCCTTAAACCCTTTGGACACACATCCCTACTTTTAGTCTTCTTCTGAAGCACCCTTGGGATACCTGTAGGAGCCAGGGTAGCCCTGGGCCAGGACTAGCCCAGGGAGGCCTTTCTGACAATCACAAACTTTAGAAAGAATAAATGACAATGGAGACAAAAGCACTGAAAAGCAAACTCTCTGAGAATCAAGAGTGTTAACAGCAGCATCCTTAAACTTTCTCCCTTAAAGGGGCTGCTCTTTAAGGCAGAAACTGTGGGATAAGGCATGGAATGAGGCAGGAGACTGGATTCTGATCCCAGCTCCACTACGGAATCATTGCCTGGCTCTAACCTGTCACTTCCTCATTTTGCTCATCTGTAAAACAGGTGTGGCACCTACTACCTAGGAAGGGTGGTACCTGCACATCAGGCGATAATACAGCTTACGAATCTGAGCTATTATAAATATCCCTCAATTCCTGTGCTTTCTGCTTCCAAACAGCCCACAGCCAGGCATGGTGGCTTATGCCTGTAATCCTAACACTTTGGGAGGCCAAAGCAGCAGATCGCTGCAGCCCAGGAATTCAAGACCAGCCTAAGCAACACGGCGAAACCTCATCTCTACAAAAAACACAAAAATTAGCTGGGCGTGGTGGTGCACACCTGTAGTGCCAGCTACTGGGGAGGCTGACGTGGGAGGATCACTTGAGCCCAGGAGGCTGAGGCTGCTGTGAGCTGTGAGTGCGCCACTGCACTCCAGCCAGGGTGACAGAGCGAGACCTTGTCTCAAAATAAACAAACAAAAAACAAAAACCAAGCCCACAATTAGGCATATTAAAGTAGATACGCCTGTCTATCCTGTGAGCTGACGACTCTATTTCAGGAGCATCAGAACTTCTGAGCGGCAGTGCTTCTGTGGACAATTTATTTTAACGTTTTATTGTAGGATTTCCTTTGTTGGTTTTTTTTTCTTAAGCCAGTCAAATTTAGCAGTGAGGGGGTTGTACACCAACTTTAATGATACTAATGTTGGCAAGTTCTGATAACCTGCTACCACTGGACCAGCCTTGTTGGGTTTTTGTTTTGTTTTTTCTTTTTCTTTTGAGACAGAGTCTTGCTCGGTCACCCAGGTTGGAGTGCAGTAGTGCCATCTCGGCTCACTGCAACCTCTACCTCCCGGGTTCAAGTGATTCTCCTTTCTCAGCCTCCACTGTAGCTGGGATTACAGGCATGCGCCACCACGCCCAGCTAATTTTTGTATTTTTAGTACAGACAGGGTTCCACTATATTGGTCAGGCTGGTCTCGAACTCCTGACCTCAGAGGATCTGCCCGCCTCGGCCTCCCAGAGTGCTGGGATTACAGGCATTTCCCACTGGGCCCAGTCTTGTTGGTTTTTTTGAATGAGCACAGAAGTTGCCATTATTAATAAGCAACAGAGCTAAATCAAACTAATGTCCTTGTCCTGGAGACACAGAGATGTGCCTGCATGGTGGTGACCCTGGCGTGCGGTGCAGGGACCTTACCTGTCTCCACCCAGGATCAGGGCAGTCTTGAGGCCAGTGAACTTGCCTAGCTGAGAAGAGAAAGTGATTGAGAGAGGGCAGGAGTGAGATGACAGCACACTCGTGGCCTTTGTGCCCGGTCCCAAGTCAGCCCTCGCCTCCCACCTCTCCCCAAGCCCACACACACCTCCTTAGTGAACTTCAGGGTCTGCAGGGCCAGCTCTCGGGTGGGCGAGAGGATGAGGGCACGGGCCCCAGTCTGGGCACTGTGGGTCTTGAGCCGCTCGAACATGGGGAGGAGGAAGCAGGCCGTCTTGCCACTGCCCGTCCGGGCCATGGCCACCACGTCCTTGCCATCCAAGATCACTGGGATGGTCTGGAGAGGCACAAGCAGGGAAGGTCAGGGTCAGCTCCTCCCAGACACCACATGATCCAGAGCTTCAGGGTCCTGAGGAGTGGGCGCGCTACGGATCTCAGTGAATGGGCAGGCACCTGTCACCCAGCCTTAAGCCTATTCTTGCCCATTCTTTCAAAAGCCTGTTAGCACGCCTCTAAGGATAAGCGGCTCACTACTCCAACTCTTTCCATTGCTGGAACACCCTTCTTCAGGCGGAGCAGACTCTACCTCCTGTCCAGTCCTCCTCAGCACCCCAGAGAGATGGCTCCCACTGGGTGAAGCATCTGAGAACAATAATCATAATCCCTGGATGATAATAGGTGGCTGCGAGTTGCCTGAGCTGAGGCTTAGTTGTGGGAAGCCTCTGGGAGGCTCAACTGGCAGAAAGGCCCAGAGTCTCTGCTCAGCTCGGCCCAACCTTCTCCACTGAGGACGTGGGCACGCTAGCTGGGGCTTCAGC